GAAATGAGTCTATCGCCTGCGACATCCTCGAACACATAAAAATCGGACATCGTGATTTGCAACCTTACTTTTAACATTCAATTTTTCGCCTGCGACATCTTCAGAACATGGGCGGGATCACGGCAGACCAACACGCAAAAACATTACAGAACGCGTGGGAACACGGCAGAACACACAGGAGCACGTCAGGACACACATGAACACAGCAGAACCCAAAGAATGCACGGTAGCACGGCAGAACACACATGAGCACGGCAGAACACGCAAGCGCGCAGCACAACACACAGGAGCACGATGAGTTCGGCAGAACACACAATACACATAGGAGCACGGCAGACCACGCAGGCTCACGGCACAGACACACACACACACAGAACACACATGGGCGCGGCAGAACGCACATGAGCGCGGCAGAACACACAGGAGCACGGCAGACCACGCAGGAGTTTCAGGAACACGGCAGCACGCAGGATACATAGGAGCACGGAAGAACACACACGAGCTCGGCAGAACAGACAGGAGCACGGCAGAACACATAGAACGTATCCGTAGCCATTCTGGCTCAAGGCCATGGAGAACCCGACGACCGCGAGTCGCGCGCGGCGCTCTGAGCGCGAGGGCCCCCGTGCTTCGGGCCAGTGCAATTCGTGTTTGTGCTCCCTGCTCTCGCGGCGCGGAGGCGCAGGCCCTCGGCCTGCGCGGCGGTGGCCATGGCGAGGTCCCCGCGCAGCGGTGGCAGCAGCAGGCGCAGCAAGTCCTACTGGATGTGCAGCTGCGGCGGATGGAACTGGGATTGGCGCACCTCGTGCCTGGGTTGCGGGCGGGCGGCCCCGCAGGCGGACAAGGACGGCTGGGTGGACCAGCCACGTGGGCGCCGTGCCCAGAAGCAGGCCCGCGGCGCGGCCTCGCGGTTAGCCTCCACCAAGTCGCGGACCTCGGCGTCGGCGGCGAGTGGGGCGCCCAGCGGTGGAGGCGCCACGGCGATCGAGAGGGTCCAGGCGACAGTCGAGCAGCTCGAGGCGCTGCAGGCCGAGCCCCCTGACGGGGTGGGCGGCTGCTTCACCGACGTCGTGGCCAGGCAACTGGAGGCGAGGCGCACCGAGCTGGTCAAGGCCCAGAAGGCAGCAGCGGAGCAGAAGGCCTCTTCCCTGCCACAGGCGACGCGGCTCCGCAGGGAGGCGAACGCCATCAGCAAGGGGGAGAAGCGGCTCCGAGCAGCCCGCCTGGAGCTCGAGCAGAAGCATGAGGCGCGCGACCTCGTCGAGGCCCAGCTCCAGAAGGCCCAGGAGGAGCTCGCGGAGCTCGACGCGGAGGTGGAGGAGGCGAGCCGCGCGCTCCAGGTGTTCGAGGAGGCAGTCCGCGAGGAGGCTGAGGCGCTGCGCCGCCAGCGCGCAGCCGAGTGGGCAGGTGCCAGCCAGGTGCCAGGGCTCCTCCTGCAGCTGGAGAAGTTGCCTGAGGCGTGGAGCTCCAGCAACTTCAAGGTGGCCTGGGCAGCCATTCGCGCCCAGATGGAGGCAGCACGGGCGCAGCTCGAGGGAGGCCCTGCAGCCCCCAAGCGTGCGCCGTGGGCAGAGTCCTGCCCTATAGAGGAGATCAGCAGCGACGATGGCGATCTCGCGGACGGCAGCAGCCCCTGGCAGCCCCAGCCAGCCGCTGAGCGAGGCCAAGCCGAGCGGCGCGGCAAGGCGCTGGGCGAGTGGCCGACGGTGGCCCAGGCATGCAAGCGGGAGCTGGCAGCAGAGGCAGCGGACCTGGCTCCTTTGGCTTCTCTTCTCTCTGGCAGGTCCACTGGGGGCCATGTCGGAGGGGTGCAGTCAGGGCCAGCGAGGGCCTAGCGCAGCCTGCGCGGCGGGCCTGCGCCTGCACGAGAGCGGCGCCGAGGGGGTCGAGAGCGACCCGGTAGGCCTCCGCAGCATGGGCGTCCGCGACTCGCCCAGGGGCCAAGAGCGCGCTGCAGGGCCCAGCTGTGACCTCGTCCTCCTGAACGCCGAGGAGAACGTGGTTGGGGCCATCGAGTTCGGCACTAGCGAGTGGAGCGACCACAGTGACCAAGCTGGTGTACATGGCGACCCTAAAGCAATTTCAGTGCTGCAGCGGCGCCTCGCGAGCTCCCAGAAGCAGGATGGCGGCAAGAGCTCAGCCTCCTGGAGAGCATGGGCCAAGCAGGCCATGCAGAAGGGCGGCAGACTCGCCCACATGTGTGCTAAGGCGGTGCCGCCCCTGCCAGTGGTGAACCCAGAGGCCAGCAGGCCCGTGGCAGGCGTGATGGCAGTCGGAGAGCAGGAGGCCAACTGGCAGGCCCTTTTGCAGCAGGAGGGCATCAGGTCTGGAGCTGGAGTCGGCAGCTGGGACGTCCGAGGCTCGACTCTGCCGCCCCTCTGCCTGGAGATGCTACAGGTGGTTTGCATGCGCCCGCCGACGGCGGGCCTGGACGCTGGCCAGCTCCCCACACGGCGGCTGCTGCTGCCCTCCTCGGCCCTGCAGTTTCGCGGCCTGGTCCTCTTGGAGCGATGCTCAAGCCAGGAGTCGGGTGGCACTTGTGCGCGCGGTGTGCACGCGGAGGTGGAGCAGGCGGATTCGACAGCGAGCAGTTCATCAATGGCTCGGCCTGGAGCAGCGGAGGGCACCCGCCTGCTGGCGTGTCCGGCCAGGCGCAGTCAGCGGCAGCATCGGTGCCCCGGCGGGCTGATGAGGCCCTCGGCTGCGGTGCTCCTGCCACGCGGCCCCGCCTTGAGAACAGCCGCTCGACTGGGAGCGGTGCGGCCGCCCTCTCGGCCACCGCGTTAGCCCTCAGCGTCCTGGGGCACGTGCTCAGCTATGCCTGCGCGGGCGAAGGCGAGGACACCCAGTAGATCGTGGCGTGCACCAAGTGTGGCGCCTACAAGGTGCTGGGCGGCCGCGCAGGAGGTAAGTCGCGCCTGGAGGCGCAGTGCCCAGGGCCCAGCTACCTGACCAACAAGTCGGGCAGGAACCAGCGCAGCCTGTGGGAGCGCGGGCTACTCCCTGGTGGCAGACCTCGAGCGGACAAGCAGAGAGTGAGAGCAGAGGGCGTCCCTGCTTTGCGCTTGCAAGGGCCAGTGCCAGGACACGCCCAGGGGCGCTACCTGGAGTGGATAGGCATGGAGGCGGAGCCCGCGGGCGGAGCCTCGGCCGCGGCCAGCAGTTCGGGCAGCGGCCCAGCGGCGCCCGCGGCAGCGCAGGAAGTGGAGGCGGCGGCGGCCAGCCTGCCCCAGCAGCAGCCAGGGCCGAGCGCGGGCGCCCTCAGAGCAGGTGAGGCAGCCGAAGAGGAGCTTGCAGCCGCGGGAGCCGCACCCAGCGGCGGCCTGGTGAGCCGCAGGGTCCGCCGCCTGGCGCGCCGCGGCTCGGAATACCTGGAGTTCTACCTGGAGGGGCTCAGCGGTGAGGAGGAGCCTACAGGCAGAGCGTCAACCGCGGCCAGCTGCCCGGGCAGCGGCCCAGCGGCCCCCGCGGCAGAGCAGACAGTGGAGGCGGCGGAGGTGGCCGCCGCGAACAGCGCGGCGTGCGGAAGGCAGGTGAGCCGCAGGGTCAGCCGCCTGCTGGCGCACCGCGGCTCGTCGTCCGTGAGTGAGTGAGTGAGGATAAGCATCGTTCGCCCTCGTGCGTTGCCCCAGTGTGAGTAGGCACGCGAGGCACGCTCTGCAGTGTGGAGGCTCCTGTGTACCGTCGCAGTCGAGTTCCCGTTGAGCGCTGGCCCAAGGCGGCCCCGCTCGGAGGCCGAGAGGCGGCCCAAGGTGGCCCTCTCGGGGGGGTGGCCCAGCTGGGCCCCCGCGGGTGGCGGCCCTTGGCGGCCCCTCTCGGGCTGGCGTGTCTTTGGCTTTTTGGCCCACCACTTTGCCTTCAAGGCCCCGCCTTTAATTTTAATTTTAACACGTAGAACGCATAGGAGCACGGCAGAACGAGCAGGAACACGGCAGAACACACAGGAGCACGGCAGAACACGCAGGTTCACGGCAGAACACACAGGAGCACGGCAGAGTGTGCAGGCGCACTGCAGAACATGCGGCAGAACACGCAGCAGTACGGCAGAACTCACAGGAGCACGGCAGACCACGCAGGAGCACGAGGCGCACGGCAGAACACACAGAGCGCATAGGAGCGCGGCAAACCACGCAGGAGTTCGGCAGAACACACAGGAGCGCGGCAGATTTCACACAACACACAGGAGTACGGCAGAGCAAGCAGGAGCACGGCAGACCACACAGGAGCACGGCAGAACACACAGGAGCACGGCAGAACACGTAGGAACACGGCAGAGCAGGACCATGGCAAAACATACGTGAGCACGGCATAACACACAGAAACACGGCAGAACACGCAGGAGCACGGCAGAACACACAGGAACGCGGCAGATGACACAAAACACCTAGGAACATTACAGAACAAGCAGGAGCACGGCAGAACACACAGGAGCATGTCATAACGCACAGGAGCACAGCAGAATACATAGGAGCACGGCAGAGCAGGACCATGGCAGCACACACATGAGCACGGCAAAACACATAGGAGCACGGCAGAATACGCAGGATCACGGCAGAACACACATAACATCGAATCACACAATTGCACACACAGGTACACGCACACATGCACACGCACACACAGGCACACGCACACTTCACGCACACACACAGACACAATTTCACGCACACACACACACAAACACACACACACACACACACGCACACAAGCACAAACAGGGAGGCAACATACGTTCACGCAGACCGCAGGAGCACGGCAGAGCAGCACGGCACAACACAGCAGCACCGCAGACCACCACGCACGGACGCACATGCACATATTCCACGCACGCACGCGCACACGCACACGCACTCACGCCACGACAGACTTGCGCAGCGCAGACTGAAAACGTACGATATCTCAGAAGCCCAGGACACAACAAGGACGCCGCTTCCCGTTCTTGTCCGGTCAGGTTTTGCTCATGGGCGTTTTGTGGATGAGTGATCTGTCAATCTTCGAAGGAGGTCTCCCGCGACGCCGCGCAGCGATCGCTGCAGCTCGCCACCGCGCAGCTGCAGGCGGCGCTCGCGGCCTCGCCCGCCGAGCCCGGCGCCCCGCTCCGGAGGCCGCTGCGGGCGGGCCGTCGGAGCTCGGCGCCGCCGGGCGGCAGGGCCAAGGCCGGGCAGGGGTGAAGCAGTGGCGAGTTGCCTTGGCTTCAGAGGAGCAGGAGTGATGGGCGTGTTTTCCACCACCACCACCATGAGTTGGAGAGGGGGGGTCCTCCTCCTCCTCCTCCTTCTCCTCCTCCTCCTCCTCCCTCCAACTTATGGTGGTGGTGGTGGAAAACACGCCCATCAAGGAGGTCAAGCAGTGGCGAAGCGTCCTGGCTCGCCTTTAGCCCTACCAGGCAATGTTCTAAGAACCCTGTGTGGTGTCCACGAAGTGTTCTTAGAGCATTTCTGGCGGAGTCTGTCTTGCTTTATCACATCGGGTTTATGTTCTAAGAACATTGTTGCTGTTATTAGAGCATGTTGGGGTTCTAAGAACGTTTCGTGGTAGGACTACAGGAATGCCGGGACGGTCGGTCCCCGCACAAGAAAGTACCCATGCCGCCACCCCTTTCGCCCGTTTGCCCCTGTTTCGGCCTCCTGGGAGGACCTCGTCGCCACCGTTGGGTTCGCCTCGAAATTGTGGTCGGGACGCATCCCCAGAGAGAGGTCCGTGGCTTCCCCATGGCTGCCCAGGGGTCAAGCAGGGTTCAGGCACGGCGCTTGGGAGTTCCCATGTTTTGTAGATCCCGATGTTCTTCGAGCAGTGAGGGTAATCGAGGGCTCGAGAATCGGGGAACCGAGGGCTACTCCCATCCCGAGAATCGAGCCTCGAGGCTCCAGGTTTCAAAACGGTCGAGTCGAGGACTGTCCAGTGTCGCCAAACAGCGGCGAGACGCCCTGGTTCGCATATACAGACTCACCAAACTATGTTCCAAGATCGCACGGGTTGTTCTTGGGACATGTTCGGCTCATACAGTCTTGTTGGAATACGTCGGCGTCACGTTCTAAGAACATGGGCTTCGTCATTAGAACATCTCTTTGCTTCTGAGAACGTGTCGTGGTAGGCCTATAAGACAACAGGGATCGTCGGTCTCTGCTCAAAGGGGGGGGAATCAGGGACAACATCGGAGTGAGGGTGTTTTGGCTTAGGCTCAGGCAAGCTTATTTGCACGGCATCCCCCCCTCCTCTCCTCCTTCCCCCCTCCCCGCCGCCTTTTCGAGTGATGCTGGATCGAAAAGGCGTGCACGTGAGTGAGTCCCGGCTTGATTGAGGGCCAGATTTATTGTCGGCCTTCTCCCCGCCCCCGCCCCCACCCCCCCGATGCAAACAAACTCTCCAGAGTCTAAAGGACACGGCCTCAGGCCTACTTGGGTCGCCGCGGGGGTTGCTATGAGGGTAGGGGGTCACAAGCGGATGCCACGGAGGGTTATGTTTGTCCTAACTTAGCTTGCAAGTGGGTTGCAAATGCCCTAAGGTTCTGAGGTGGCCCATTACTGGATCTGGCCAACGGGAAGGGGCATCAGGTTCGAGGTGCGTGGTTCGACAAGGCTGTATGCCTTTGTCGGTCCCAGAGGTCCGTTGTCGGGCCCCGGGACCGTCAAAAACTGATCCAGGGTGAAGAACTAATGCAACAGATGGTCCCCGGGAGCGGTCCGGGGACCGCTTTTGAGCGGATTTGACCTTATCATTTCTTCCTGAGACAACGTCGGAGGCCTACTTGGATCGCCGCAGTGGCCTCTATGCGGACAGGGGGTCGCAAGTGGATATCAAGGTGGGATATGTCTGGCCTAACCTGACCTAAACATGGGCTGCATATGCCCGAAGTGGCTTGAGGGCGCACGGATCCGGGCTAAGTTGGCAGAGCCGTCTTAGCGGAGCCGACTCACCCGAAATCCGTGTAGGGAACCCGTAACCCACCTAAAGACTAGGTGAAGCCCGACGTATCCCACGGAGGCCCACTGAAGTCTCTGAGCTGGAGTGGCGGGTCTGGTGCAGATCGGTCGGCGGCGGGGGGTGCACTCGTTCATGAGTTGTTAATTCTTTACGCTTCGCGTGTCCCCACCAGCCCATCTCACAACAGCAACTCTTGCGAAGCATGCCGACAGTCGTGTTTTTCAGGCGTGTGTCCGCTTGCCCCCGCATATCTCCCCCGTTCCTGCTTCCTCCCGCCTCCTTTTACATCCTCCTTGTGGGGGGGAGCGGGAGAAGGACGAGGCGGAGGAGGAGGGAGAGAAAGCGCTCCTCGTGGTTTGAGTCGTTTGGGGTTTCTCGTCCTGGTGTGAGTCGTTCGGGCCCTTCTTCCTGGTGTGAGTCGTTCGGGCTCTTCGTGGTGTGAGTCGTTCGGGCTCTTCGTCCTGGTGTGAGTCGTTCGGGCTTCTCGTGGTGTGAGTTGTTCGGGCCCCTCGTCCTGGTGTGAGTCGTTCGGGCCCCTCCTCCTGGTGTGACTCGTTCGGGCTCCTCGTGGTGTGAGTCGTTCGGGGCCCGCGTCGTGGTGTGAGTCGTTCGGGCTCCTCGTGGTGTGAGTCGTTCGGGCGCCTCGTCCTGGTGTGAGTCGTTCGGGCCCCTCCTTGTGGTGTGAGTCGTTCGGGCTCTTCGTGGTGTGTGTCGTTCGGGCCCCTCGTCCTGGTGTGAGTCGTTCGGGCTCCTCGTGGGGCCTCTTGGGGGCCTCTTGGAGCCTCTTGGGGCCTCTTGGGGGCCTCTTGGGGGCCTCTTGGGGGCCTCTTGGGGGCCTCTTGGGGGCCTCTTGGGGCCTCTTGGGGGCCTCTTGGGGGCCTCTTGGCGGCCTCTTGGGGCCGCTTGGGGGCCTCTGGGGGGCCTCTTGGAGGCCTCTTAGGAGCCTCCTGGGCGCCTCGTGGGGCCATCTTGGGGCCTCTTGCGACCTCCTCAGAAGCGCAAATGAGAGCTGCCCCCTGAGAAGGACAAAATGAGCCCAAAACCTTCGTAAAATCAATGATTTTGCTATGAAGGACGATGAGCGCTGCCCCCTCAGAAGGCCAAAATGGGGCCAAAACCATAGTAAAGTAAATGTTTTCTGCTTCAAAGACGGTCTGAGGCGCCAACCCCCCCCCCCCTTTGGGGCCAGAATCCTCGTGAGGGTCGTCGTTTTTTGGCCCTCCCAGGAGTCAAAAAAGACCCCCCTGGCGACGCCCCGGAGTCCCTGTCCAGGTCCAGGGGGAGGGGGTAGGGGGAGGGGTAAACCCCTCCCCGAAGGGGAAGAAGGGGGGTTGAGGACAGAGAGCTCCCTAAACCACTCACGCCCAAAGGGCTGGTGGGATTATTTCGTGCGATAGCACGCAACTGTTGCGGAGGGGCGCGAATTATTGCACGGGCATTTCTTTTGCATGTGTAACAGGCTACACAGTTGCATCCAGGGGCATATATTACATCTGGCACACAAGCCATTGCATCCAGGCGCCAACTATTGCAAGCGCTAGTGCACCTCTCCCCGCGGATCCGTCTGCGTCAGACCCACTTCTTCAGCTCGAAGGGTCGGGAATTGAAAGAAAGCCCACTCGGACAAGTCGACTGAGGAAATCTGCACGGTTCCACTCGACCTCGGCATACGATTGTGCCAGTGCAATCCCCAATAGGTTTTGTTAATCGTTAATCGACGTGCGTGTCGCCGGCTGCATTATGTTGTTTCTAGACATCCGTTAGTGATCTCCCCAGGGTGCATTCACAACGCGGTGCCGCGCGCACCCGCGGAATTCCTTCGCACATTTCGCTAAAGTGTCAGTTTACTAAAGGCTGTGCTGTCAATCTTCGATAGAGGTTGACACCAACACCAACATCGACGTTTGCCATCACCGAGGGATGATGATCCCGATCTCGGCGATGGTGGCAATTGTTGGCCTCTTGAGGTGGCCGAAAGGTTACCGGCAACACCAACATGCATAAATATTGTTCCCCCGTGAAGACGGCTCCCTGTGTTGGTGTTGGTGCAGATCCTCAGGCCTCCTACAACGACTGTTGGGAGTTTGGTTTTCGCCCGTTTTCCCATGTCTTCGGCAGTTTTCTAGCCTCGGGGTGCTTTCCAGCAGCTGCGCCTTGCCAAGGGCGGGTGCCCAGATCGTCCCGAAAGGCCCCTGGAGAGCCGAGTGATGACCTGAAAGCGCGGGGGCAACGACAGGAGGGGACCAGCGCTTAGGGGCAGAAGCATCGACCCTTCATGGCCCATTGGTCACCGATGGGGGGCCAGATGCCCCACGCTGCGCAAACGCGTGCGGTTTCGCTATCGGGGGCCAATCGCTTATCGCCCGTCCATCGGCGGTGCATCGGCGGTTCCGGGTCAATGTGCCCCCCTTGAGTCAGTCCCCACGCACTACTCCCCATCAGGGAACAATGAATCAACATATAAGAAGCCCCAAGCGATGATTGCTCTGTGGCGTTCTTCCTTGCTCTGGTAATGAGATGGCCTTGCGCGCGGGACTTCGGCGATGGGCGCCTCAGGGTCCTGGCGATGGGCACTGGGACATGGTGGCCCAGTGGGTCCTCGCCACGGGGTCCCAAGAAGACTATTAGAACGGTTGGGACTTCCACTGCCACCATCTCTCCACCGCCGCCATTCCAAGGTATCACCGCTACCAAGCAGTGACAATTTGTTTCATTCTTTGCTCCAGCAGCCACGCCTACATCATTGCCGCCACCGCCACCACCGCTGCCATTTGCTCTATCACAATTCTCTGGCCAAACCAAAATTGCGGTTACCACCAGCACATCCACTGCCACAGCTATGTGTTCCTCGTGCCGATTCCGTCCGCTGACGCTACCATCTTACCACCGCCCCTGCCACTTCGCTCCCATGACATGTGCCACGTCCACCCTCACCACTCCGCTCCACTGCCAGAGATTCGAGAGAGGCCATCGGAGGAGATGAGAGCGACACCATCGCAACCACCACGGACGCTACCTCCAGCGGAGAGGTCCACGATGCTCCCCCCGAGGCCCGAGATTGGATGGAGCCTGGCTCGCGCGGGGAAGCAGCACCCCACCACCAACAGGACTCCCCCCTGGCTGTCTCGCCTTTGTTCAGGAGGGAAAGAAACACACAGACACAATTATTCGTCGATTCCCAAGAAAATATGCGAAAATATTGGAAGTGGGGGGGAAGACAGAAACCCAGAAAATATGGGAAAATATGGGAAATCTGTTTATTTGTGTGTATTTATTTGTGTGTCCTGGGGCCCCTTCATTTGTGGTGGTGTCACCCGCTCGCTCACAAGCCACGCGCCGCCGTCTGGCGCGTGGACGGGAAATCAAGTTCAAGCAGTCGAAAGCAGAAGCTGGCGAAACTCTGTGCTGGCTCATTCGGGCAGGGGGGAGGAGGGAGGGGAGGAGGAGGAGGAGGAGGAGGAGGAGGAGGAGAAGGAGGAGGACGAGGAGCGACGTGCTCCCATCAGCTTCCTTGGGCAATGAGGCGTGGCATGAGTTTATGGTGCAACGCCCTGGCGAGTGGAGGGATCTACTCATGCCTCAACCACATGCGGTCCAAGCATGACGTACGGAACCCGATGTAAGGTTGTTCGCACGTGCCGACGCCACGTGCCCTTCATGTCGCACCGTATTTTCCACGAGTCTTCGTTTGATCGCGCATGTGTCGAGAGCTGGCACAGGACCGACCCCGTGCAGGAAGAAACCGACGCGTTGGAAGCATTAGACTCTAGTGTGAGGCGGCTCGCCCATAAGTCTGGGCTAGAACACCCAAGAAGCAACGTTCCTGCTGTCAGACTTGATGGCCAGAGGTCGGGATGTTTTTTTTGTAGTTTCATTGTTTTCCACTTGATTCGCGTCGCGTGCAGCACATCGCCGGCAAAAAAGGAGGAGGAGAAGCAGCAACTCTCACTCAGGAGTCCAATGGTGGGGGCGTTGCTCCTCCTTCCTCGTCGTCCTGCTTCTGGTCGAGAGTCTGCTGTGCGTAAGGGTGACCCTTCGCCCCACCAGCACCCGCTTGCGCGCTTGCATTGTGCCCCTACCCCCCCCCCCTCCCCGCGGCACCCCGAAACCGCGCACCAGAGATCTCTCTCGCCCAGGGTCGCTCCTGCGTGTAGCCGCGAGAGGCCGGGGCCGCCACGCCGCCCCGCTGCCTGCCGCGCTGCCTGCTCGGCCTGACGCGGCTCCTCGACGCGCCGCGGCGGGCGTGATCTCCGAGCGGCCCTCGAGGCCCTGCCGGCCGCGGGCCGCCGCGCTGCACGTCGCTCGGCTGCGGCGGGCGGAGCGGGCGCCACACTGCTGGGAGGCACGGCGCGGTTGGTCACGGGAGAGGCGGGTCCTGAGGGAGACGAATCCTGGGTTGTTTCGCTGTCCTCGGGGTTTCGGAACCGTCAGAACGACGACTCGGGATGACAAATTCTTGACGCTTCGCGTATCCCCACCAGCGCAGCTGCCCGCTGTGCCCTGCCCTTCGCCGTCCGGTCTGCCGGGTGCTGGCGCCACTGTGCGACGCCCCGCTGTCAGTCGTTGGCTGCGGTTTTGGTGCGGCTTAGTGAGGTTCATTTTGTTCCTCGCATGTGCACTCCGGCGTTGGCTTTTGGCCCGCTGGCAATTATCTTGCTTGCTGCCCCATGCTTGTTTCGACCCGCTCTCTGAAATCGTCCTTGGAGCCGCAGGTCAAAAAAATATCCCCACCAGCCCATCCAGAAACGATCAGCAGGGGAGTTGGTGAATCAGGGGCGGCAGAACGCATGCAGTCGCGCAGCCGTCTTCGAGAACACAAGCATCACACATAGCTTCCCGCATTGAGGTTTAAGATGGAAATCTGTGCAAATTACGATGGTGTTTCGATGAGAGGTGAGGGGTATGTCGATGACTCGTAATGGCTGTTGCACTGATTTGTATCTTAAACTCGCGTGCGTTCCGAAACTTGGAGGCATCTTGGGGCCCTCTTGGGATTCTCTTGGGCCCCTCTTGGGTCCTCCTGGGGCTCTTTCTTGGGGCTCTCCTGAGGTCCTCATCGGGCCTTCTTGGGGCTCTCTTGGGGCCTTCTTGGGGCCCTCTTGGAGCTCTTTTGGAAGGTTTTGGAGCCCTCTTGGGGCTCTTTGGGGGGGTTCTGGGAGGCCTCTCGGGGCCGTCTTGGTCCTTCTGGCTAAAGAAGGGGGGGGGCCCTCAATTCTTGTCCCCCCTTCGGAGGCTCAAAAATGCCCTCTTGGCCCGCTCTTGGAGCGCTCTTGGGGCCGTCTTGGGGCTCTCTTGGGCCCCTCTTGGGGCTGTCTTGGGCCATCTTGGGGCCATCTTGAGTCCTCAAGAGCCCTTCGGAGGCGAAAAAAACCCTTCGGAGCCCTTCGAGAAGGCAAACAACATTGATTTTTCTTGGGTGTCTAAAGGATTTGGGCCTCTTGGGGGGGGGTCCTGGGAGGCCTCGGAGGGCACTTGAAACCGTCTTGGGGCCGTCTTGAGGCCTCTTGGACGCGTGTCGGAGGCTATCTTGACCCGTCTACCGCTATCTTGGGCCATCTTGGAGGCCACCTTGCGCTCTCGGAGGCCCTCTTGGAGCCATCTTGGGCCATCTTGGACGCTGCTATGGGCCCGTCCCCCCCCCGTCCAAACGCTGGGAAGGGGGGGGTAAACCTCCCGAGCAGGGAAAGGCAGGAGGTTGGAAAGGGAAACGCCCTAGACCACCTGCGCCCAGAGGGCTGGTGGGATTTGTCCTGGGCGACGGCCCTGGGGCCCAAGACGCGCTTCCCTCAGGACCCGCGTCGCCCATGCTAAGCCGTGTCGGGGGAGGGAGAAGCGACACCACCACCACCAAGGGGGCCACCTCCAGCGAGTAGGTCCACGATGCTTCCACGAGTTGGGGATAGGGAGGGGCCCCCCCTGGTTCCTCCCGCTGTTGGTCCCTGGTGGTTGTGGTGCCGTTTGTTTGCCTGCTCCCGCTTACCGTGCGGCTGCGCGGGCCGTCCCAGTCAGCCGCGGGCGGGGATCTCCGCCGCCGCTGCCGCAGGTGAGGGGGAGGTGCATGGCCCTCCTTGCAGTCGGCCCCGATTCGTAGGTCGTCCCTGCCAGCTCAAGGGTACCCTAGTGTCCTGTGCCTCGCGACGCGTGCCTCCTTACACTCCTATGGCGATGTGGCCTTCGGAAGGGTCTTGTGTCCTCTCGCGCGCCCTCTCCGATCAAGCCCGACTGTAGTAAGGCACAGAAGCCTCCGTTCGTCCTGCAGTAAGTGCACATCGGCCATAGCGCCCAATAGCGCGCGCGCCGCGCCCAGAGCCGGAGAGCCGAGTCACGGCCCGAATGGTAGGGGGCAAGGTGGGGGGGCGCTGGGGCAGGCCAAGGGGGAAGCGTCGACCCTCAGTCGCCCATGAAAGGACCCAAGGGCCACACCCAGCCCAGGACCGTTCGGATTCGGTGTCGGGGCCTATCGCCAATCGATCGGCGATGTATCGCGGATTCCGGGTGAGCGACGCAGAAATCCGGTGCCGATTGCGGGGACATTCGCGCGCAAGTCTCCCGCACAAGGTCGCGCGTGAGCCCCCTCTTCTCCACACGCTCCAGACGGTGTGCTACGCATGTGGCCCGCGCAAGCCGCGGCGTCAGCTCGCTATGTCATCATGCGTAAGACCCCTCTCTCAGCAAGACAACTATCGGGTTGGGAGGGTAGGTTTGGGAGATATGATCTTACCACCAATAGTACCGCGCATGTTAAAGGTGCCTATCCCACAGTCGTACCCTCCATCTTCCCAAACCCCCTCCCCCCAACACGATAGTTTTTCCTCAGGGTGTTCCCACGCCATCCCTGTCACGGGCGACAGCGGCCCCAGCGACGGGCGTGTGGAGAGGCAGCCTGCTCCTGCGTGCGGCATCGGCGGTGGTCCGCGGGGCCCCGATGGAGCGGCCAGGGCCGCCCCCACCTCGCGCGCCTGAAGCCCAGGGACTGCCCGCCTGGGACGGAATCGGCCATCATGCTTCGTTGACAGTTTGTCGGCGCGACGAGTCGCACGGGCTTCCAGCTCCCGGCGCTTGTCGAGTAGGATTGCTTGTGAATTCACAGCTTGCTTAGTTTGTCAACGCAATCGTGGGAGGGTTCTGCAGGCAAGGCTCCTGCTGAGCTTTCCCCTTGAAAAAAGCCGCAGGCGATCCTCCCTGCTCCTGCCGTAGGCAGAAGTTGCAGAAAGAGCGCATCTGGCGTTAAGTAAGCCGCAGGAAGCGGTGCTGCGACGCTCGCGCGCGCCCTGGAAAGAGCGCGCGCAGGTCTCCCACTGTCCTCGTTGCGAATCGGCGCGAGTTTTGCATTTTTGTTCATTGCATTTTCCTCCGCAGTCTACGCGCCAATTGGAGCACCCCTTACGTTCTCACAGATATCCGTCTGTCCAGCCTGGACCTTGCTGTCGGCCGCGCATCGGCACCCACAGCACAATTGGGTCCTGTAGTCACGATCTCACTTCTACATCTACTCAAGAGGGAACAAAAACACAGACACAATGAATCGTCGATCCCCAGGAAAAGATTGGGAAATATCGGAGGTGGGGGGAAGACGAAAACCCAGAACATATGGGAAAATATGGGGAATATGTTTATTAGTGTGCATTTATTTGCGTGTATCCCAGGGCCCCTTCATCTACGCCCCCTGGAGCAATCGAACTCTCTGTCTCGTCGTGCATCCTGTGTTCTCCCTCACTCCCTTCCTATTCTCTGGAGGGAAATTCGCTGGCTGCGGCGTGAATTGTGTAGTTTTTGCCAATGACCTGCACAATTGCAGCTGTCATCATGGCTAATGCAACATATGTGCTGGTACACACTCGCACGGTCCCTGACGAATGTCTTGCTCTCATGCCGCGTCCTCTGTCTTCCTTGCAGACGCACCGCGAACCTCGGAGTGCCCCGCTCCCTAAGACGTTCAAGAGTTGCCCCTGGGTATCTTTGTTGGGATCTTCCGGAAGGTTGGATTCAGCATCGGCCTTGGTACCTCATTGTGCCTAGTCCGGCTTCGTCCAGCTCAATCTGGCTCAATTCGGCGGAACATGAGCATTATTTAAATCAAACCCAGCGTAGCAGCCATAATCAGTCTAAATATGCTTGAGTCGGCGTCGCGGAGGTTGCCCCAGGAGTTGCCTCCTCGCCTCCTGGCCTCACAACCTGATTTATGAAGCATCGACTTTGCCAAACCTAACACCAACCCCTTCCTGTAAGACCGCCCTGCGGGTGACAAGGAGGGTGGGGTGGTGGGGGCTGGTTCTAAACAGTTGGCATTCGCAAGCCGCAGGACAACCGTCGGGGCATCCAGAGGGACAACTACCGGGACAACCATCGGGACGCATCGGGACAGCCATCGCGGCAACCATCGAAGCAACCATCGTGACAACCACGGGTGAACCATCGGGACAATCATTTGGACGACCATCGGGACAATCATCGGAACAACCATCAGGACTACCACGGGACAGCCGTGGGACACCATCAGGACAACCGTCTGGACATCCACTGGGCCAACCCTCGGGACATCTACTGGGACAACCATCAGGACAACCACAGAGCACCCGTCGGGAACAACATCGGGACAACCACGGGACAGCCATCGGGACAACCGTAGGGACAACCATCTGGGCAACCATCGGAGCAACCACCAGGACTACCACGGGAAAGCCGTGTGACACCATCAGGAAGATTTTGTGGACAGCCATTGGAACAACCTTCGGGATATCTACGGGGACAACCGCGGGACAACACTTGTGACATCTGCTGGGGGCAAGCCTCGGAACAACCGTCGAGACAACCGTCGGGACAACCGTCGGGACAACCGTCGGGACAATCACGGAACAAGTGCGGGAACATCCCTGGAACGCCTCGGCGGGTGGCCACCCGACGCATTTTCGTATGTTCGGGCCCAGCCAGTGCAGGAACTCGCGTAGCTTCACCTCGCCTGCACTCGTCACGCGACCGCGGGCGTCTATGTGCGTGCCGTGCCGCGGCACGGTCGATGGCGTCTCCGCGCGCTCCAGTTCAGATTCGATGTAGCATCAGAGACATTGCGCGCCACGGAGTTAGTGTGAGTGTGCGTGCCGTGCCGTACCGCATTGGCGTCTCCCGAGGCGTCGTCGAGTCTTGACCCAGGAATGGTACGGTGCCCAGTTCTTGGACCTGTGGGGGCCGAGAAGCTATGCACCGTACCGCGTTGG